TGCACTGTAGAAAGAAGAGGTGTGATATTTACTCGATCACCAACTTTAGGAATAATGGAAGTGCGAAGAACATGCTGGATGATATGGGCATTGCGGTTAAGAGTGTCTACCTTAGGCAAATGACCTACTCCTCTAGTTCCTCTAATGACTTGATTTGATGCTGTCCAGTCAAAGTTGATGGAAGAGGTCAAAGTGTGGGCTCTAATCCCTTGAGTCCTTAATTTCAAAAATATCCCTGAATCTTCTTTTGTAATCTCTACTTTCTTCTTAAAAACATAAGACCTAAGCACACTTTGGTCAGAGTTAAAAAGACATGTTTGCAAGGAAGTAGTGGAAAGTTTTCTTATTGTAGAAGTGGATCATAGTCAGAATAAGACCAAATTGGGTAGAAACAAAAAGGTCCATTACCTTGAAAGTGAGTTGTTCTTGTAGAAGGACTCTAGAGGGCGTGATTTTGGCGGATGCAAACCTACGAATTGACTCCTCATTTTATTTGGAAAGAAAGTTTTCTCCTGAGTTTCTAGAGTGGGGCCCCTTAGCAAGAACCTTTTGCCTGTCACTTTTGCTTGAACTAGCCATGGAGATGATCAAGAAGATTTAGAAGAATGAAAGAGTTTTTGAAGTGATGAAATTTGAGTTCAAAACCATTCAATTTAAAGAGAAAACAAACTTTCGTACGAATGAAAATAATTTCGTCCCATATGATTTTGGGTTCGTACGTACAAAACTTATTTTGTATGGATGAATGAATGGGTCCAAAAAAGAAACAACTTTTTGTAAACATGCAAGTTATGAGGTTTCCTTTCATACATATTTTTTACCATACGATCGTACAGAAGAACAGGTGTTTGTCCAAGACGATCAGTTATTTAAGATCATTTTTATGACGGTTTGAAACGTCTTCCACATTGAATTGCCATGTGTTTGTATATACGAACTAAACATTTGTACGTACAATAAGAAATAAAGAAATTGATCTTATCCGTATAACTGTCTACATGCATATATACGATTGCATACACATCGTCCGGACGATCGATGGATCGTACAGACGAATGGTAATATAAAAACTAAAAACTGCATGTAGAAATGTTTAAAATAACCAGTTAATATGATACAGGTTTGTCCCGTATAAAATTAATTTCATATAGATGATTGTCACACAATTTTTCATGCCATGCTAAAAAATATACGACCAAAAATAGAACACATACAAAAAATCACAAAAATAAAAAAAACATACTAACAAGGACACATATCAATGTCGCTGATACTTTCATTTAAGCATTCAAATCAATCACATCCAGCCTTGTTCTTAATGTACTGAAAGTATCAAAGGCTAGTGGTTTTTGTAAAAATGTCTGTAAGTTGATTTTCAGTTGAAACATGAATGAGTTCAATTTCTCCTTTGGATACATGATCCCTTATGAAATGATGCCTAATATCTATATGTTTGGTTCTTGAATGTTTAATATGATTTTTAGATATGCAAATAACACTAGTGTTGTCACAATAAATATGAATAGTGCCTATTATTAATCCTAAATCAATCAATTATTATTTTAACCAAAGTACTTGTGCCACATAACTTCCTAAGGCAATGTATTCAGCTTCAGCAGTAGATAGGGCTATGGAATTTTTTTTCTACTGGACCAAGAGACTAAAAAATTTTCAATAAATTGACATGTTCTAACAGTGTTCTTTCTATCAACCCTACAATCTGCAAAGTTCGAATCTGAATATTCAATTATTTCAAATGAAAAGCTAAACTTAGGTTACCAAATTCTTAAGTTCTAAGTTCCCAATAGATACCTTAAAATCCTTTTCACTGCTGTCAAATGTGATTCTTTTGGATCTGACTAAAATCTAGCACATAAAAAAACACTAAACATTATATCGGGTTGGCTAGCTATCAAGTAAAGATCTAATTATCCCTCTAAATTTCTTTTGATCAATAAATTTTCCCTTAGGGTCCTTATCCAACTGAATTGAGAAAACTCATAGGTGTATTGACAGGTTTAGCATTGTCCATTTCATACTTTTTGAGGATGTCCTTAACATACTTCGACTGACTAAGAAATGTACCTTCCTCAATTTGCTTAATGCTAAATCCTAGAAAGTAGTTCAGATCTCTTATTAGACTCATCTCAAATTCACTACTCATTATTTTAGAAAAATAATCACAAAGATTTTTATTTATAGATCCGAAGATGATATCATCAACATAAATTTATACAATAACTATATCCTCTCCCAATTTCTTAAAAAAGAGAGTTGTGTCCACACTTTCTTTTCCAAAAGATCTCTCAAGAAGGAAGGTGCTCAACCTCTCATACCAAGCCCTAGGTGCCTATTTCAATCCGTATAATTCCTTTTTCAATTTGTAAACATGATTTGGGTGTTTAGAATTTTCAAATCCTGGAAGTTGTTCTACAAAAACTTCCTCTTGAATTACCCCATTTAAAAAGGCACTTTTAATCCATTTGATACAATTTAAATCCTCTAAAATAGGCAAAGGCTAACAAAAACCTAATTGCTTCAAATCTAGCTACAGAGAAAAAAGTTTCTTCAAATTCAATTCCTTCAATCTGATTATACCCCTTAGCAACCAATATAACCTTATTTTTAATGGCTACTCCTGAGTCATTCATTTTATTCTTGAATACACATTTAGTTCTAACTATACTTTGATCCTTTGGCCTTACCGTTAATTCCCAAACTTCATTTCTCATAATTTGATCAATATGTGTGGGTTCTATCATTGAAATAAAGGCTTAATAATTGAATTCTTTGTTTAGTCCATGCCTAGTCCTAACACCCTCACTAGGTTCACCTATAATTAATTCCTTTGGGTGGTTTTTAGAACATCTCAAATTTTTAGGCATCAGGTTTTTATCTTCAAATTTTCTTCCAAATTTATTTTCTCAATCTTTTGAGAGTTAATTCCTATCTCATCCTCTTCAATAATTATCTCTTTCAAAATTCCAGATTCATTAAATACAACATGTGTTGTCTCCTCAATTGCCAAAGTTCTTTTATTGAATACTCTATAACATTTTCCAACATTTGAGTATCCTATAAAAATTCCTTCATCTGATTTTGGATCAAATTTTCCTAAGGCAGATTTTCCATTATTATGTATGAACACCTTATATCCAAAGACATACAAATGTGATAAATTAGGTGTTATTCCCTTTAGTAACTCATAGGGTATTTTATTTAGGTTTGATTTAACAGTCACCCTATTCAGAACATAACATGCTGTGCTAACCGCCTTAGCCCAAAAATATTTAGGAAGTGAATATTCTGCCAACATGGCTCAGGCAGCTTCTATTAATGTTCTATTTTTTCTTTTGACTGCCCCATTCTGCTGAGGGGTTCTAGGTGCAGAAAAATTGTGATCAATTCCTTTTTCCATACAAAAATCTTCAAATTTTTCATTCTCAAATTCTCCTACATGATCACTTTGAATTGTTAAAAATTCACGTCATAGTTTCCTTTGAATCCACGTTGAAAAATCTCTAAATTCCTCAAACAATTCACTCTTATGATATAGAAATCTAACACATGTAAATCTAGAGTAATCATCCACAATCACAAATCCGTATACCTTACCTCCTAGACTTACACTTCCAACTGGTCCTAAAAGATCCATATGTAAAATCACCAATGGTTTACTAGTTCTAAGATCCTTATTGGACTGAAAAGAGGACTTCACCTATTTTCCTAATTGACAAGTATCACACAGGTGGTCCTTAGTAAAGTCCAGTTTTAGTATACCTCTCACTAAGTTCTTTTAGGTAATCCTCCTAAGGTTTTTCATGCTAGAGTGACAAAGTCTCCTATGCCAAAGCCATAACTCATTAGAAATAGTTTTTAAATA